AACTCAGGTCTCCTGCATTGTAGGCAGACGCTTTACCGTCTGAGCTACCAGGGAAGCCCTTCTATAAAAGGTTCTAATTTTCAGTCTGATAAAGCCTCCCCAATTATTACAGTAGTTCTCCCTTATCTGCAGGGAATACTTCCCAAGACCCCCCAGTGGATGCCTGAAACCATGAATAGTACCAAACTCTGAATATGGTCCCATGATGTTTTTGACTAAGATTTTTCAACCTTACGATGGTATGAAAGCAATAGACATTCATAGAAGCCGGACTTGGGCTTTTGAGTTTGGGCCCTTCCCCACGGGCCATCTGTGGTACAGTCCCATCTTCTGATGCTGGGCAGCGGTGGTGCGGCTTCTCCCGTCAGCCACTCCACCTTGAGAGGAAGAAGCCAGCACGCCAACAGACGATGTTTTCCACTTTCAGTACAGCATTCCATCAGTTCTAGGAGGTGTTCAACGCCTGATTATAAGATAGTCTTTGTGTTAGATGGTTTTGCTCAACTGTAGGCTCATGTGAAGGTTCTGAACACATTTAAAGTAGGTTGCGCTAAGGTGGGATGTCAGTAGTTTAGATGTATTAAGTGCATGTTCAGTATTTTCAACTGATGATGGTTTTATCAGGACATAAGCTGAGGATCTGTACTGTGTCTTTTTCCTGTACATAACTGTGATAAATTTTAATTTATCAGTTAGGCACAGTAAGAGCTTAACAACAATAAGGAATAGTAAAATAGAATGGTTATGATGTTGCCGAACAAAATTTATCTAAAACAGACAGAAAATTTTATTTGAGCCAAATTGAGGACTATAACCTGGGAACAGCCTCTCAGAAAGCTCTGAGAACTGCTCCTCTCATTACACATAAAAGCACAGTTGTATCAGTTTTTGAGACCGAGGGCTGTACATTCTACACAATCCAGATCTACCCATACAAAGCAAACAGTGAGTGATGAGTCATGGTGGCCCCTTACAAGATTAAGAAGGAAGGTTATCTCCTAAGGAGTTATCTCGTTGATGCCAAGAGAATATTGCCTTTTATGGGTGAGCAGGTATTTCTGCCGATGGGGAGTTTTGGTCGATGTGTAAGACAGATACACAGTATATACTAAGGGAGAAGGAGGAGGTCAAAGAACAGAGAAAAAAAAGTTATGTTTACATTTTCCTTGATTTCCCTTAGAATATGAATTTTTATTTCATGAACAATGATGTACTATAGTAAAAGTTATGTGAATGTGGTCTCTCTCAAAATATCTGGCACAAATTTAATGCCTTTTCCAGCATAACAAAGCACTTATGCACTGTGGCTATAACTTCTGCAATTTAAGGTGCGACAGCAAAGCTAGGAGGAATTTCTTTTTCCTTCTTCATAATTTCCTGGGTGGAAGATTCTTTCTGACCATAGATCTTAGCAACCTTAGCATGTGAGTTTTTTCTTTCCTTATTAAGTTGAGAACGTTCACCTTTTCACTTAAAGGAAGCTCTTTACAGCCTCTCTTTGGCATATCTGAGTTGCCAGTGTAACCACTCTTGTGCTTTGGGGCCATTACCAAGTAAAATAAGCAAGCATTGTGAACGCAAGCACTGTGGTACCATGCCAGTGACCCCGAAACCCATAGCTACTGAGTGACTAACGGGCAGGACACGCTGGACAGAGGGTTGACTCACGTCCCATGTGGATGGAGCGGGATGGTGCGAGGATGCCAGAAATGTTCACATGCCAAAAAAAAGCATCTTAGACTTAGCAAAATACAGCCTAGGAGTTTTCCCTTATAAATTCCCTTTTAAATTCTGAAAAAAGTATAAGACACTTTCTTACCTTCTCCTTTAAAAGGGCTACTGGATCTATATAGTCTTTTTGAATGAAAATAAAATTTTTGTTTTGAAAAATATTAAGAATTTTATTACATTTTTGAAAATAACAGTGTTGGTCCTCTAACATCCATAAATCAGGGTTGGAGCTCATGCCGCAATATCTTCAGAGTTCAAATCTCATATGATTCTTGTTATGCTAAGACATCTATTTCCAGATTGGGGCTTTTAAATGTGGCTGTATTGTTCTAAGAGGAAATTGCAAAATTTAGAAAATTAGTTTATTTACGATTGTGCAATATTAAAATAGATCTATATGGAAATCCACTGGCGGTCCGATGGTTAGCTCAGTGCTTTCACTGCTTTGGGCCCAGATTCGATGCCTGGTCAAGAAACCAAGGTCCCCCAGCCCTGCAGCTTGGCCAAAATATATATATATTTATATGATTGTTATATATATTTATATATAAAATATATATATGCACACATATATATGTATATATGATTGTTACCATTAAGGAAATATTGCAGAAAGCTTGGGGAGATAATATTTTGAAGCTATATTAGGTATCAATCTGCAGATTTACATACTGGAATTATTCTCTTACTTTAATACGTTAAGATTTTTCTCTTATGTTAATACATTATGTTGTATTTTGATAGGTCTTGCTTCTCTTCTCCAGCTCTTTTTAGAGAGAGAACTCCATCCGCTTAGGTCGCGCTGGGTCTCCGCCGCTGTGCAGGCTATCCGTGGCCGCAGCGCGGGGCTGCTCTCTGGCTGGGTGCCGGCGTTTCGCTGCGGGGCGCGGGCGCTCGGGCTGCAGGAGCTGGGCGTGTGGGCTCGGCAGCTGTGGCTCCTGGGCTCTGGCGCACAGGCTCAGCAGTCTCCAACTCTTCTCGTTCACACTTTAACAATCTTATGTGTCTTATCTTTTTTTCCAGATTACTCTCTTGGATGCGAAGCGGAGCATGAACATTGGGATATTTCTTAAGCAGTTTAAGAAGTAAGATGTTCGCACACATTTGAGACTTTGGTCACACTTCTGCTGTCAGCATCAGACTCTGGGTGTGAGCTGAAACGCTCCCTAATGAGGGAAGGCGCCCCTCATCCCTTCACATTGTTTTAGGCCCGTGGCTTGAGGAGTCCCCAAGTGTGTGTCACTTTCTGTTGTTTTCCTCCATAAAAGCATAATCTAGTCGCTTGGAGTTCAGGGAGAATTGCCTTGAGGCATCTATTCAAGCCTGACATGTCAGGGAATTTATAAATGCACCTGAGGGGTTGCCCCGTTAGTGGAGGATGGACACGTGAGTCAAAGAGTGGTTAAATTCAGGCGTGCTAGCTTGGAAAAGAGAGGGCTCTGGCTCCAGGAGGTTGACCGAACTGCTTTTCTTCTCCCAAAGAAGATGCCCGGTAGCTGTTGGCACTTTCAGCCCCCCTGGCAGGGGGGCTGTTACGATCACTGACACAAAACCACCTGCACTACACGGAGGGAGGGGGTGGAGAGGAGGGTGGAGGTGATTTGTTTTCATTTCTACGGGCTTGTGTTTCTCAGGCCCTCCAGCAACTGTGAAATGGAATCTGATTCTTGTCTTTTCAAGGTCTCCTCCGTCCATCGTGGAAGATATCCATCAAGGAAAGAGCGAACACTATGGATCAGAGACATTGCGAGAATTTCTTAAGCTTTTGCCAGAGTCAGAGGAGGTAAGGAATTTGGGGCATGAGTTTTTGATGTTAAGAGCGATAATAAAAGCTTCATATTTTTTAGGAATGTCAGAACTCACATGGAATGACGCTGTTTTACCCAGAGCCCGAGTTTTCTCTTGTAACAGTAAAAAGTTACCCAGTAGAAAGAGTACGAGTTACGGAGTTAAAGAACCTAGGTTTAAATTGACATTCCTTCCCTTAATTGGGAAAGCGGGCAAGTTTCTTAAGTCCTGTGAACTTTAGTTTCCTCACCTGTAAAATGAGGATAATAAGGCTTACCTCATTGAATTGTGGAGATGATTAAGCCCTCGTTAAGCATCTAACGTGGTACTTGGCACAGGGGAGCTCAATAAATGTTAGTTCCCTTTTCTGTCAACTAAGGTGATCTTTGCCTAGGGTGTACCTGGGGTTGTTTGATAATGCATGTTTTTTTTAAAAAAAGGAAAGACCGACCACTTTTGAATAAAGATGCTCTAAAAACTAAGAGGTAGGTAAATTGTTAATAGATGTTGTATATATTAATTGACTGAAGATGGAGATGGCTATGGTGACAATATAGTACCACAGTATAAGTAAAGTTACTGATTTTGGAGGGACTGAATTAACTGAATCTTTGCATGATTAGGAGCTTGATAGGATAAAAAAAGAGAAAAACAGTTTTGTAGAACCTTCCAAAATTGTGGTACACTTTCTGAATAAGGGACCCTTGGAAAAAATTTAGTAAAAGGCTAAATAAATACGTGTTATTTGAATAGTACAAAGTCTTATAAAGTAAAAAGTGTAAGTTACCCTTTTCCATAGGCTGCTGGTTCCTCCCTCCCTAGTCTCTTTCCTTTTCCCAGACATAATTTATGGAACTTGATTTTAGTGCCATTAATAACCAAAAAAAAAAATGTATTTATGCTTTTTTCTTTTCTGTCAGTGATAACCTCCCAATGCCAAACTGAGGGTCTTAGTGGGTAACTGGATGCTCAGGTATTCTGAGCTGTTCTCTTCACCTCAGCTTTCTGTTCACAAATTAATTGTAATTTTCCAAAGCCAGGATTAGTTAACAGCATTTGTTACTGTTAGTACAGAGTCTTACAGAACTGAGGGTAAAGTATGTTAGTTCACAGTTCACCCTGGATCCTACCTGCTGAACACTCCTTAATCATTTTTGTGAAGAATAGCATTCCAGAGTCTTTTTCTGTAATGGAACTATATTGCTTTACAGTATTGTGTTTCAGATGTACTCAAGATCTTTTATTAGGATGGATAGTTTTAATGAATTGAGTTTTTAAGAAGATTCGGTTGCTCTGGAAATCTTATTCCTGCTTGGGCGTTTCTCGCGCCTGCTCCTGAGCAGTTCTCCTGTAATTCCTAACAGAGCTCTGAATTTCCAACTCAGTGGGAGTTAAGCGTGAGGGGAGGCTGCCAGCTTTATGCCACTGAAGAGGGAGGAGGTTAAATATGATTTCCTTAATATCTTCCTTCCTAATTTAAAAATCAGAGGCATTTGAAAATTAAATTTGAAAAATCTTTAAATGCAAAGGCTGTGGAAGACTTAGGGGTCTTCCAAAGAAGCAACTTAGCTGTCCGACCTCTCATGTCTTAAAGAACCCAGTGTTTTGAGTTGTGTGTGGGAATAATTCAGAGGGAAGAGGCGGTTAAGGACGAGGTGACCGAAACCCACCCCAGCACTGCCACGAGGATCCCCAGGCACTCTCACCCGCAGACGATCAGCTGACCCCAGAGACAAGACAGGGTCCCGCTGAAGCCTTAGGGTCCTGCTGAGGCTTTGGGGTCCTGCTGAGGCCTTGGGATCCCGTGGAGGCCTTGGGGTCCCGCTGAGGCCTTGGGGTCCCGCAGGGCCTTCCCAGCCCCGAGACCCGCCGTTCCTCCCCCTGCAGGGTCCCCTCGGTCTGTGTATCTGACAAGTTCGGTCACACTCCCCTCGTTTACATTCCCGCCTCCTGGCCTTTGACAGGCACACCCTCCTCCGGGAGCCGAGCTTCCTGCAGGAACGCCCTGACAGTCCCCGAGGCTGCCCGGCAGCGCTCCCCCAGCCCCTCGCTGGGGGCTGTGTGCCTCCCCGGGGAGGAGCCACCTCCCGCCCGCTGCCCCTGCAGGGACAGGCTCCTTTGCCGTGAGTGCTCTGGGTGGCTCTGGCCACCCCCCGGACCCTGACGTGACGGGGGCGACCCTAGAGCCCCAGGTGGAGGGCGGAGGCTGGAGAAGAGGCCAAGGAGAAGGCAGGGCCGAGTGAAAGAGGCTGAGGACTGTGGCCGAAACACGCTAATAAATGCATCACGGGCGCACGACTGTGCCTTGCTCAGCCCATGGGGTATATCCCGTGCCCGTTTTTAGCTCAGGGAGGGGCCGTGCGCTGACTGCCGGCCCCGTGTTCCCAGCACCAGCCAGGGCCACAGGGAGCGAGTGCTCCGCTCAGCTCTGGCACACAGAAAGTCGGTAAATCATCCCTGTGGTGGCTGGCTGTGTTTTTTTCATTTGATCTGCAGGGTGACATTGTAAGCTTCCTCGGGTAACAGACGAGACCCTGTCTGCTGCCACAGGACTGACGGGCCTGGAGGGCGGGGGGCTTGGCCTGACTCATCTGACCCTGGGCAGCTCCCAAGCCACCCTCGCCACCTCCCTCTGAGGACGGAAGGACAAGGGTTCCCCACCCCCTGGCTGCTCCAGGCCAGCGCCCCAGGCCTGCGTCACCTCCGCTCTCACAGGGAACCGAGGCACCAGTGTGAGTGTCAGCACGCGAACACCGTCAGCAGCAGCTGAACTGGTGAACGGGACCAGCCGCCAGCTCACCCCCATTCATTCGTTTCCTGGTGTCCTCTGCCCTCCACCACAAAGCTTTTTATCTGGCACGTTTTGTTCATCTTGCCTCAAACTTGTGTTTAAAACTTGTAGAGGGAGTGGTGGTGGTTTAATTGCTAGGTCGTGTCCAATTCCTGGCGACCCCACCAGACTCCTCTGTCCATGGAATTCTCCAGGCAAGACTGGAATGTGTTACCATTCCCTTCTCCAGGGGATCTTCCTGACCCAGGGATCGAACCTGGGTCCCTGCGTTGCAGGTGGGTTCTTTACCAAATGAGTTCCCAGGGAAGAGGGAGATGGTAGACCCAGAAATGAAAGCATGTTCCCTGCCTGGGCCCCAAGAGGGGGCTTGACCGGGAGCCATGGGCCGTGGCGGAGCCATGCCCTCCGCCCTCCGTGGCGGAGCCGGCTCAGCATCAGGGACTTGGGGCTGGAGGCGGCGCTGCTGTCTGTAGCAGCAAGCTGACTTGCCTCTCCTGATGTTTTTGTCACCGCATTCTTACCTTGTTTGTTCACTCTGCTCCTGGGAGAGGAGAAAGCCCTGGGGTCTTCTGTTGGGTGGGTCTGCTGTTGGGTGGGAAACCCTGCTGTTTCACGGCCATGTGAGTGGACTTAGCCGGGATGAAGGAGGCCTGCTCTGTGGAATGCATGAGGCTTAAGGAGCAGGCTCTTTGCTGTTAGGGCAGAAACCAGGCAGAGCCAGGTCATAATGAGAGTCTCTTGGCTCAGCCAAGAAAACGATGCCTAACAACGTTTGATAAATGCTTTTTGATGGTGATGAGAATACACAATAATTACAGGGTTTGTCCACCTCTCTTTTTTACCTCCCTCACTGTGAAGGCACAGTAATCCCTCTTAATGAACATAAATCTCATTTTGAAATGGAATTAAGAACTGTATACATGGCATTTAAATCAAATACTATCTTTAGTATCACTATTCTCTTGAACTCCATAAACATTTTTCACTCATTATATAAGAGAAGGCAGTTAATCATTGTTCATTTACAGTTCAGCACATGTTTAATAGAAATATCTACCGAGTGTACTTAGCATGACCTGGTCTTGTGCTTCAGACAGGAAGCCGTGCTGTGATTCTCAGAAGTTTGGCCCGTGCTACATATGTGGTTTTATAAGACACAGACAACTCCACTCTGCCCCTGCCCATATATGGTGAATCGTGAGGCTCTAGTTCAGGAGGGATCAGAAGTCATCCTGTGGCTTTTTCAGTTCAGAAAGTAGGCACTAGTTTGGGTTTAACTAATGCAGAAGTTCTATCTCTCCTTAAACTTAGTAAGGCTGAAGACAAAAAATTCACTTTGAGGCCCTAAAGGTAGGGGAAATAATGCAGTTCTATAAATGGCTGTTTTCTGCCCATTAGGAAGAAAATGTAGTCTTAAGGCCCAGACTTAATACTGGGGATTCTGAGGTGTGCCTCTGCACTGTTACATTTCGTATTTCAGAAAAAAATTGATGCAGATGCTTCAGTTTGGGGATCTTTGCAAATACTCCCTCCTCCCGGTTTTTGAACTGTTAATTCCTGTTTTTCAAGAGGTTTAAAAATTAGGTTATTATTATGGGCACATAATAATGTGAGATACTGGCACAAACATAATCCAGAGGTAGGAAAGAGAAAGCTTTATAAAGTGTTAGGTGCTTACTGGGAACAGTTAACTACAAGGATAGACTGTCAGCTTTACTGTAGCAGTCTTTTTGTCTGTCTGTTTTTAATTATAGTTGATTTGCACTTCTGTGTTAGTTTCAGATGTACAGCGAAGTGATTCAGAATTATACACATACACACATCTATTCTCTGTCAGACTCTTTTCCCATACAGATTATTACAAACCTCTAGCAATCTCAAGGTGCTACTGACCATGAAGTGTTTCTGTTGGAAAACTCCAGTACAGTGGCCAGGGATGTGTTTGGGGTTGGTCCTGTTTTCTGTGTGGGGAAGGCACAGTTTGAGAACCTTCTGTGCCTCCATCCCTCCTTGTTAGCTGTTATATTCCTATGTCAGAACTCTTTTATTTTTTTCCTTTACCACTGTTGAAGGAATATTTGTGTATTTAATAACTTTTAGTTTAGTTTAACTTTTTACAGGACTAGTACATGTTCATTGTGGACATTTTCGGAAATAAAGATGAGCAGCAGATGCAAGTGATACTAACTATGATTCCATCACCTTGTGTAGATGCCTGGTTCATCTTGTTGTGTTTGTAATATGTGCCTGGAGGGCTGGAGCATAGATACTTCTTGTCTTAATTTATAGAAGTGGGATTCTACTGATCCTTACCTGACTCTCTTTCAGAGGGGAAGATCTTGACATCTTTCAGTTGTTTAAGACATTTTCCTCTCTAGCTTCCTGCTGGAAAGCCAGTGTGTGTTCACCTCCACATCCAGTGGTTCCTCCCTATAAAGCTGCTAAACGTGAAGGGGAACGTGACCTCTGAAGGAAGATCTGTGTTAGGCCCCCCAGTCTAAGTATCTTATATCCAAAATACTCAAAATAATAAGACATTTCATTTGTGACTTAGGTTCTGCTATAGTAACTATATATATCAAGCCTCTTCTTTTTTTTCCAGACAGGGATCTCCCCTCCAGCTGATGACTTACTCAACGTTTTCATCCTTGGCCTGATCCTCTTTCTGGCTCCCTTAGTTCCCCAAGGGACTCAGTGCAGTGGCTCCGGCTCTCTGGTTTGTGTGGGGCTGTTTATACCCACACGAGCGACACAGCTCTCCTCTCCCTAACTTGATTGTTTGGGTTTTTTCTTTGAAACAACAAACTGGTCGGTGACTTTCTTTTCTCTTCTCTTAGGTCTGCATTTTTATTCATTTGAATTTAGCCCTGAAATCCTTATTTTCTGAAAAGAATTCTAAGGTGGAATTTAAAATGATGTTGTATTTCAATCACCGGTCCTTGTTCCTTGACCCCCTTTTGTTTGTCTTTCAGATAAAGAAACTAAAGGCATTCAGTGGAGACGTGGCCAAGCTGTCCCTGGCAGACTCGTTTCTGCACTGCTTAATCCAGGTGCCAAAGTAAGGACCACCCGTCACTGCTCTTGGCAGGGCACGGTTCTCAGGTCCACAGCATCACACGCTACAGCTCTGCTTCTTGTTTTTCAGCTATTCCCTGCGGATTGAAGCCATGGTGCTAAAGAAGGAATTTCTGCCTTCTTGTTCTTCTCTATACACAGATATGACGATTCTAAGGAACGCTACAAAAGGTGAGTAAATACATGATGCGTTGTGTAATTTGTTTTTATTAATTTTGGTAGCAGCCTATTTTTTAAAAACTGTTTGGTTGAAAAGTTGTAGATATGGGAAGTTCCATTTCTGATACACTCTAGAAAGGGAAATGACGTGTTACCAAGGATGGTATTTAAGGTTTAGCTCCATTTACTCCCCCCTTTAATTAATTTAATTAGTTGACCAGTCAATTAATTAGCATATTATCCTCCAATAAAAGAAAGTCATTTCATCTCAGAAAGTGAGAGTGTCAGTCGCTCAGTCCTATCTGACTCTTTTGCGACCCCATGGACTGTTGTCCACCAGGCTCCTCTGTCCATGGAATTCTCCAGGCAAAAATATTAGAGTGGTAGCCATTCCCTTCTCCCGGAGATCTTCCGGACCCAGGGATCGAAACCAGGTCTCCTGCACCGCAGGCAGATTCTTTACCGTCTGAGCCACCAGGGAAGCCCACCTTTCATCTCAGGTTTAGGAGTAAGCCTGTTGGCTGCAGCGTGCTCTTGTTCCTCTCCTGTATTAGCTTTCTGTGTGTGTGTGTGGCTGTGTGTGCTGTATGNTCCCGGAGATCTTCCGGACCCAGGGATCGAAACCAGGTCTCCTGCACCGCAGGCAGATTCTTTACCGTCTGAGCCACCAGGGAAGCCCACCTTTCGTCTCAGGTTTAGGAGTAAGCCTGTTGGCTGCAGCGTGCTCTTGTTCCTCTCCTGTATTAGCTTTCTGTGTGTGCTGTCTGTTGTGTGTGGTGTGTGTGCAGAGTATGTATGTGTTGCATGTTCTCTCTGTGCTGTATGTTGTGTGTGGTGTGTTCAGTGTGTGTGCAGAGTGTGTATGTGTTGCGTGTTCTCTGTGTGGTGTGTGTGTATCCCGTGTGTATTGCGCATGCATTGTGCATGTCATGTGTGTACGGAGGCGCATGCTCACAGCCTGGGCCCCGGCCGCCTGCCCGTCCCCCAGGCTCTGAGCCTGCGCCCTGCTCTCCGGGAAGCAGGGCTCCTTCCCTCCTGACCCCTCCGCAGCAGTGTCGCCCGCACCCCCAGGTCCCCTCCAGCCACTCGCTCAGGTCTGAGAGGAGCGAGCCGGCGTTCCCGGTCCTTTGAGCAGCTTGCCCCCGTGGAGAGCCTGCTCAGGTGCTCTGATGCCTCCTGCACGGAGCTGGGAGCTTGCTTCCCCGCGGGCGGGCGGGCGGCGTGAATGCTGGCCAGCCCGCCTCCTTCCGGCCCGGAGGCGGACTGGACTCCTGCCTCCCTGCGCTGGGCACCTGGCTCCGGGCCTCGTCTCCTCCTGGTCACTTTCTGCATCTCTCGCGGGGGCGGCGCTGCTTGCTCCTGCTGTTTTCCCTGCATAGTGACCCTGACCTGTGTCGGCATTAAGGCATATTTTCTTCGGCTCGTTATCTTTTCTTCACTTAGAGAAGAGACTAGGCTTTAAGACGTTTTCTTCTTTCACTGTGGAGGCCTTTTAAAATTTCTTCCTGTACTAAGGCTAACGCAGCAGCTTTGGAAGGACTGTCTGCTCTGTGCAAACAGAGATGGAAGCATGTGTTTTCATACTAAGCAATGCAAATTTGTGGGCACCATGGAAATGTTTTTTATCTGGTTACCCTTTAAAACCTGGCCTTCTTAGATAACACAGTATAGGCAGTGATCCAAGTGTAACTTTTTGAAAGTAATACCAGACATAATGGAGAATATTAACAATATCATAGATGACATTTTATTACCTATATCTACTTTAATTTTAGTAATTAAATTTCTCTCTTTGTCTTTTCAAATACATTAACAAATTTTAATATTGTTTATTTGTCTTGGTGGGTAATACAAAACATTTATGGAAAGATTCTCTGGGTACCTGCCTCTAAGAGTTGGAGCTTTGCAAGTTATTTACATATCATCCCAGCCTGTTTATTTTGTATCTCCTCACAGCTCATCAGTTAAGCAAAATGCTGCTTGCTATTCATTTTCATAGTCCGTAAACACAATCTCAAAGGATATAAAGGAAAAAATAAAGAAATAACTGTTGAGGAGACTATTCCTATTACACAGTATGCTGCTTTTCCTAAGATTTTTGTATTTTCCACTCGTTGAAAATTTTCATTGTTGAAGTATAAGGGACACTTAAGTGTCATCTGTATTTGATTCCCAGTTTAACACCAGGATGGGCATCACCAGTAGCTGTGGTACATTAGATACACCATGCAATGCACTGCTTTGTTTGTGTCAGTCTTTTATACAACTTAGGGTCAGCGTTTGCTTCAGACATACTTAAACCTGGGTGTGGTAGCTGTCTGACGTGTGTCTGAGCGGCAGGCTTCTCTAAGGTACTGTGTGTGCTCTTTCTGACAGAGCTGATGTCCTGTGAGGAATTACATTCCATATTACACTTGGTGCTACAAGCAGGGAATATCATGAATGCTGTAAGTAAAGTTCAAAAAAAATTTTTAAATGTTGCATTTCCGACTTTATTTGTCTGTCTAAAAGTGTGTATATATATTTTTTCTTTTGATTTGTCTTCTTTAGGGAGGGTATGCTGGCAATGCAGTAGGATTTAAACTGTCTTCTTTGCTCAGATTGGCAGACACAAAAGCAAACAAACCTGGGATGAATCTCCTGCACTTTGTTGCACAGGTATGTGGAAGTGATTGACAGAGTGTTCGTGCACCCCCGCTGGAGGTAGTGAAGTCTTTCAGAGGTAGAAGGGGGCATCAGTCAGAAGAGGGCATGGTAGCTGCCAAGAAGTTTCTGTGTGCAGATTCCTTAGTTGAGTGCACCTGGAGTTACCGGGCTGGAGGGACGTGGGCGGTCGGGACTGGGCACAGAGGTGGGTGAAGCCAGGTGATGAAGGATTCACACCCACAGCTGGGGAATTTGGATTTCATGCCTTAGCACTGGTGAGCCAGCAGTGGTTTGTACACATCATCATGGCATGACCAGGGATGTTTTCTTCCTAGGAAAATGAGGCAGCATGGGGATGGGTTGGAGTGGAGAGAGACGAGAGACAGGGGTGCCTCTTGGTGGAAGCTGGCGTTCATCGTTTGGGAGAGTTGAGAAGCCGAGTGATGGCCATGGGATAGAGAGCAGAGGCCTGGGTGTTGAAACATTTCTTTCTAGTGTTGAGTTGACTGGAGTTTTGACCAGTTGTGTGTAAAGAGTGAGGGGTCAGAGCAATGAGAGGATGGATCAGTTCATTTTCTTTGTGAACTGGGGGTGAGGGAGCCTTGCCATCCACACAGAGTTTGGGGTCTGAACCCTGTCCACTACTTGGGCACATGTGTGACCCCCAGATAACTAGTTCCAAAGCCAAAGATCAGCCAAGGACAGTTCCCTGTTTGTTGTTAAATTATCTCAAATAATGAATTGTGCGGGCTTGTTTTTCCTGCTGCATCTCCTTGTTTTGACAGCAATCATGTAGACACAGCTTAACCTGGCAGGAAAGCTGTGTTGCAGGCTTAAGTGTGAGCTTCTGAACAGGATGGAAGGGAGAGTTTTGACCTGTCCTTTATTAGCTGTACTTCCTCAGACGAGTTATGTAAGCCTTAAGTTCCTCAGTTTCTTCATCTAATGATGAGGGGCGGGGAGTGATAACCTCAAAACTCGGTAATTGAAGAGGTGGAGGAAGATAATTCCAGACTGTGCTTATTAGCTCAGTGTTCTGAATATAGTAAACTCTCCATAAATAATACACCCTATTATTACTATATTCTTCAGAAGACAGAGGCCATGTGGAACCTGGTACTCACTGAAGAGTCCATTTTCAGGGCATTAAGACCAGAAAACGTGTTCCTCAGCACTGAGATCCCCGTCCCAGGTGCTCTGTGTGGCTTGGTCCCAGCCCCTTGTGGGGAGGTTCCCTGAGCTGCACGTTGCCTCCTTCACCCTTGCCTTCCTTTTGCCCTCTGAACAGGGGAAGGATCCAATCTCCTCCATGGCCCATGCGCCGTCTGATTAAGCTCAGTTTGCAGACTGGTCTAACAGCTGCTGGTGGCTGGGTCACACAGAGGCGTCCTCGCAGGTGTGGTGGTTTTTCGGCAGGATAGATTGGATTCCCTTGGGAGTCGTGGGCCCTGCGAAGCGGCTGCCTCCTTCCACTGAGTTTTCACACGCGTGTGTTGTGTTTCATGTCAGGATCAGTTGCTCCGGGAAGTTAAATGTTTCTTGAGAGTAGGAGATTTCCGGTCAGTCTTACTGAGAATGTCAGACTAAGTGTGTGTCTCTGTGAATTACTTTGACTGTATCAAGCCTTAAAGGGGGACAGTGATTTTAGGGTTCCTTTAAGCCCTGAGAAAAATTTCTCCATATAGTGGATAAAATTCCAGTTTTGTTCCCATAGAGTGAGAGAAAATTCTGTTTTTGTTCCAGGAAGCCCAAAAGAAAGATGCTATGCTTCTAAATTTTTCTGAAAAATTGCTTCATGTTCAGGAGGCTGCCAGGTAATCAAGGAAGAATATGGTGAGACAAACATGGTTGGTTGTTTTTTTCTTAACTACCTTCCTATGAAAACTGATGAATATTTTACAACTTCTGGATTCAGGTTTGAACTTTCAAAAGTTTTGCCTAGTTGAACTTTCAGACCTTTCTTTCATTTGCTTATAGAGGTGTGTGTGCACCTTTGGAATTAGAGGGGTTTTGAAAATTTAATCTTTATTTTTAATCTAAAAAAACCCTGTTGCAGTTTATTATAATGAATATCATCAGTGTAAAAATGTATGTATATGGATTAAGAACTTCAAATACCTCCACACCCAAAAGACAGGGCTGAAAGAACATAGCACTTGGAGATGGGATACATCAGTCAAGCTCTCAGGGCCCTACCCCCCTGATTCCTTTAGAATCTAACATGGTACGTTTACTTTCTATTGCATTAAAAGAAGTTGGAACCATATCAAGGGCTGTGAAAGGATTTTGTTTTAAATTAGTCACTCAGCTTTATAGAGAAAGTATCTAACAAACATAACACTCTATTTACATCCCTATTCTTTGCTTCTTATCCTCATATAGATGTGTATTTTAATGTAGCTATAATCTGTGTATCCATTCTGAGTCCTGTGCTTTTAAATTTACAATACATACCCACACGTGTAAATGTTAAATGGTGGTAATGTCCCATAGCCAGCTTTTTAAGGAAAAAGGTCCTGATGTGTAGCTACTGCTGATTTCCATGGTATAAATACTGCCGCCATGGCTGACCTCAAGTTCCCAAGTGGCACCATCGATTACGGAGCTGGGGAAAGATACCCACAGCCACAGCCGTGTCCCATGAGCAGACGCCAGCAGTCACCTCACGTATCAACCCAGTGCATGTCATCTGCTGGTTATCTGAGGGACTCTATCCATTTGGGACAGCTGTGAACCAGATGCATAAACAGTCAAACAGAGCTTTTCCAGCCCCGCCCACCACCGGCCCGCATCTCAGGATACTGCCTGAGAATGTCTAACCACGGATGATGTCTTTCCCAAAGTGATAGGGTCGGTCCTAAGTGTGAACAGTTGATATAGTTCATAGTTACAGATCACCAGAGTATTCCTCCCACAGAATGGGCATCTGCTAAGATGTAAACTGTTTTCACTTTTGAATTACTAAAAGAAGTTTGTGTGGAAATATTTTTTCCTCCCTCTAGTACAGAAATGTTTCTAAGAGATACACATAGAAATAACGGTTCCATTTCTGGTCAGAGTTAGATGGGGAAGGTTAGCTAGATATTGTCTTAGGAAAAACTTAACTAAGGTTTATTTGAACTGGAAAGTGAAGTACGCATAGGACAAAGGCGGGTGCCAGTGACCAGTGGAGGTGGAAAATTACTGTGTAAAGAAAAGTTAGAATTGACAATGGAAGCTTGAAAGGATCTTGATCTATGAATGTGCTAATTGAATTCCTCCTGGACTTAGGTATCACCTGTTCACTTTACCAGGTGACACGAACATCATTCATGCTCTATTAATCTCAGTGTGACATTTATAACAAAAGCCTTGCCAGTAACCCCACCATTTCTCTGCAGAACTCTTAGCTGTGTGTCCCTTCTCTCTAAGACCCAGAGGACTGACTCTGGTTGCTTGTGGCGGGCAGCATGCCGTCTGTTCAGTGTCTCTGCATCCCTGTTAGCGTCCTGGTTATCAGCATGTGCCGCCACCTTGCTTTTCATGGGTTAGGGCTTTTGTATTTGCATTTTTGTGACCAGAGGAAAGTATAAGTAAGTGAGTCCTGCTGGACACTAATGCTGATGGCATAAAGCTGTTGAGACCTAGTTTATGAAAAGCTTCGCAAGTCCTGTGCTTTTGGTTATCTCTCCAGCAGGAACAAAATTACAGCCTGCTCTCTTTGAACCATTATGTGTCTTTAGGCAAGAATCGCCTTAGAAAAACATAGGAGGAAACTATAAAGGTAGAGGGTAGTAAAGGTAATTGCGGCAGCCCTCCCCTCTATTTCCAGGTCCCGTTTGATATCCCTGGGGTGACCGCCCCCTCAACCCTGGTGCCAGCTGCCCACTCTCTCCTTTGTTCTTTCAGATTATCTCTGGACAACACGGAGGTGGAGCTGCACTCGCTCTTTGTCAGGACGAAGACTCTCAAGGAGAACATCCAGCGGGATCGAGAGCTGTGTCAGCAGATGGAAGATTTCCTTCAGGTGAGTGATTCGAGTCAGTCCCTCTGATCTCCTCCTCAGTGGCCCTGTGAGGCCACTTACGTTTGCAGGGCTGTGTTTGTGGAAGCAGCAGGTTCCCATTCATGTTTTCCCCCCAAGCCAGTCAAAGGAACTTGATATTTCAGCGGCCAGTCTTTAAGGGGGCGTCCCCAGTGGCTCAGCAGTAAAGCATCTGCCTGCAATGCAGGAGACACAGAAGACCCAGGTTTGATCCCTCGGTCAGGAAGATCCCCTGGAGAAGGAAATGGCAACCCACTCCAGTATTCTTGCCTGGAAAATTCCATGGACAGAGGAGCCTGGCAGGCTACAGTCCATGGAGTTACTAAGAGTTGGACACGACTGAGCGACTGAGCATGCATCCTTTGCTGGATTGGTTTTCCAGCAGAGGATGTGGAATATGTCTGACCCTGAGCCCTCGGTTAGAGATGGGGTCTCTGTTTATTTCTGCTTGGTCTGCAGGATGGCACCCACTCCCACATGGACTGGGATCACTTATGCTTATGCTTGGCGGCTGCTGCCTGGAACTCAGGTTTTGGTTCAAAAGCTCAGTTCTGGAGTTTCTGCCTCCCAGTTAAACTTCTGGATGCCAGAATGAGGTTCTCGTTGAAGACACCTGAGCACTTGGGCTGTTCTTCCTTCAGCTGTTTCTGTGGAAGAAACAAGCTCCGTTTTGGCGTGTTTTATAGGGAGGCAGGAAAGCACACCGGAGCCAGTGCCTCCTGCCACCCCGATCCATCGGCCCACAGGGTGTGGTGGGAGCTGCCCCGAGTAACATCAACAGAACCCAGCAGAGTGGACCTGTTTGTGACAGCTCATCATGACTCACTAATCACATAGTCTGACATACTTCTTTTATCTTCCTTATTAAAAAAAAAAAAAAAGTGGCACCTCTTCATGCTTTCAGTCTTCAGGAAATGGCGTGCTACTCAATTTGCCTTTGCCAAACGGATCTTGAAAGCTCGGCGTCAGGGCTTTGAGGCTTATGAGCCGGAATGCGTGAGGCAGGGCTGCCCTGGGAGGTGGGAAAGGGACCGTGTGCTTGAAGATCAGACCAAGGTCAGCTGCAGCCTCCCTTGGTTTCCTTGAAATGAAGCCACATCAGACGCTGTGAGCTGCAGCTCCCGTCAGTGACCACCTGATTCTGTTTGGCTGTGCTGGGAGTTTGTTTTTATTATTAAACACGTATTCTGCATTTTCTTTCAAACATCACCGAACTTTAATTTTCCCTTAAAAGTGCACAGATTTTCTTCTCTGAGACAACTAAGTAGACATTATCACAGAATCACATGAACAGGAGCTAGGAAAACACTCAGCAATAAATAAGTCTGTTCAGACAAATGGAACAATCCAGGAATGTGAGGAGGCCTGCCACATGTTGAGAGGAGCATTCTGGAGGCTTGTCTCTCAGTTCTTATATGAGATGTTAATTTCTTCTGTGAAATGGCAGCACAGGAAAGCTTACGATGCAGAGTCGCACACCCACACAGCTGCTGAGAGGCAGTCTTCTTTTCACTCTAAACTCATCTTCCTGGTACTCATTTTTATCTATGTAAGTAGAATATTCCAAACAGCTACTTATTTTTCCCAAGTTTACTTTCTTTTTAAATAGGGGAAATACAATTTTTAATGTAGGTTAGGGTCAGGCCACAGAAGGCCTTGAATGCCAGTCTGAAAACTTTGCTCTCTAAGCCAGGTGGGGAACGATTGAAGGGTTTTTTAAAAAATCATTTATTTATTTATCATTTTGGCAGTGCTGGGTGTTCATTGCTGCTCCGGCTTTTTCTCCAGTTGCAGTGTGTGGGCTTTTCACCTCGTGTCTGCTCTTGTTGCAGAGCACGGGCTCTGGGACGGGCGGGCTCCCCTGTTTACAGCTCCTGGGCTCTGGAGCATAGGCTGGATAGTTGTGGCAGATGGGCTTAGTTGCTTCACGGCATATGGGATCTTCCTGGAACAGGGATCGAACCCGTGTCTCCTGCATTGGCAGGCAGACTCTTTACTACTGAGCCACCAGGGAAGCCCCATTGAAGGTTTTTGAGTAGAAAAATGATCTACTATTTGCAGATCTGTTTCACATTTTGACCCTTTGGGTGAGAAGTATCGAGTGCGCTGGGGTGGACTTGACACTCCATAGCAGACAAATTTGAGTTGAAAAGTTGGATTGGCTACCACAACTACCGATCTATCCTTCACGCTTTGCCAGCGTTGCTTTGAACTTTTTCATCTGTGGCCCCAACCATGAGGGAAGAGTTCAGAAACTAGCTCTTGGCCAGTGACTCCAAGCATGGTGACTTCAGGCTCAGTTCAGAATGCGTCACCCTCCAAGTCCTGGGCGGCCCGCAAGCGTCCAGGCACTCTGCCGTCCCCACAGGATCTGACGATGAGATATCCCAGGTAGAGTAAGCTCCCATGAAGGTTCCTGTCAAAGGCTTGTTTTTCTGCAGTTGAGCTGTTCTTGGCTAGGATCCATCTTTCCCCCTGTGCAAGAACGACAGGCAGAGATTTATCCTTCCATTAATACCCTTCCCTCCATGAAGAAAAACACAGCATGAACGCACACACTGCCTTGGGCTACTGACTCAGATGGTTACTTTCTCTGGCATTTGGTTTCCTAAATAGTTTTGGTTTCCTACTACCTCTCGAAGGCATTTGGTGTGAGAATAGGGCTTTGAAAGGGGATGGTGTGTGGAGTGGATAGGAAGGAGCTCATCTTCTTAAACTTTCTCTTTCTCTTGAGATTCTCCTTTGTGTTCCGCATGTGAGCCCAGTGGCCGGGGGGCGGGCAGCCCACAGCATCACCATTGCCCAGGCCTGGCCCCCTACCCAGAAGAAGTTTCTCAGATATCAGTTTGGCCAAAAAGTCTGTTCAGGGAAAAAAACTTAATAGAAAAACCAGAACAAACTTTTTGGCCAGCCCAATTAAAGTGTGATTTCATGCAACCCCATTGCATGCCTTCTTCATAAAATCCTTGTTTCCCAGTGAAAAAGAAAGCACATGAGGCTTCAGTGTGAGCCTAACAGCGCTCATTTAGGGTTAGGTTTAAACCCTTCCAAACTGTGAACAAGACAACTGGTCAACATGAGAGACTTCTGGGACCCTGAAGCGGACCCATGACCAGTGTGTGACGCAGTCTTGAGGGCAGGAAGAACAGCGGCAGACGGGGCTTTCCTTGATGATGCCGCCTCGGTGCCGGTGCCGTGTGCCCAGTGACATTACGGGGGGACACTGCGTTGGCGACAGCCTCCAGGTTAACGCTCCTCAGCTCCTCTGGCTCCCCTCGCACAGGGGTCCACCTTGCTCCCCGGAGTTTTGTTTGGGGTGACTTACTCCCCTGTCGGCTCTGGGGGTCCTGGTGTGAGATCTGAGACGGAGCCCCGGGCCCCTGGCGGCTGCCGAGCGCTCACCTCCACGTCTGCCGTCTGTCCTTCCCCCGCAGTTTGCCCTGGAAAAGCTGGCCGAGCTGGAGCGGCGGAAGCGAGAGCTCCAGGTCGAGGCCCACACCCTCATCGACTTCTTCTGCGAAGACAAGGACACCGTGAAGCTAGACGAGTGCCTGCAGATATTCAGGGACTTCTGCGTCAGGTTCAACAGAGCGGTGAAGGTACGGCTCGGGGCAGCTCCGCGCTGTCTGAGTTGTCTGGATTTCTGCCTCTCCTCTGCCCAGCCTGGCCCTGCCTGTGACCGAAAGGGGCCTCGGTGGCCTCACAGCATCAGGAGGCTGTGGCCCCGGGGGCGCTGCCTGGCTGTCCCAAGGATCCCGGGCAGGCTCTGCCTCTCAGCCCCGAGCCTTCCCCTGTTGGCAAGCCTAACGTGTGCTGCTCATTCCAGTGCTCGCTCTGATGCTCTAAAAGCGTTTTGTTCGTCAGGCTTGTTTAGGATGGCAGTCACGCTATTAAGGCATCTCTTTGAAGATCCTTCTCTCTTTCCAGGAAACACTTTCCTCCTTCAGGGGAACCTTTCTCGCAGTGGGGTGACCGGAAGGCCCCTTTGCCCCTCTTTTGAGCTCTGTAGCCATTGTCAGGGGTCGGCATCCAGGGAACCAGGCTGTCCGTGGCCAGAGCAGGCTTCAGAATGCCCAGAGACTGAGGGGGCGGCTGCTGTCGGCACACAACCGCTGCAGCCTTGCCCATCAGCCTCCCATTCATAATCTCTGAGTTCATGCAGAATCCAGAAAACTCTTTGGGTTTGACTTTGCACATAAAACTTTCATCTGCCAACTAAAAACAGAATAACAGCCCACCAATTCAGGTGTTGATAAGGAACCAAATACCCCTGTGTGCCGCTTTCCCTCAATACTAAGCGCACGTTTGTCCACAGCTGACTTTCTTTGAGGGGCTGCTCACTGTCTCTGCAGCCCCAAATGAGTAGCTCAGAGTGACTGGAGTTCTCAAACCGCCTTTCTCTGTCTGCTGAAAAGGAGGCTGAGCCTGTGGCCACGTTTCCACTCCTCTGTCCAAGCAGTGAGGTCAGCAGGGGAGGTGCTGGTGGGGTGGTACTGGCCAAACTGGCCCTGAGACCTTCACTCCCAGTCGGAGTTCTCCACGCTTGTGAGGCTGCCTGGGTGACGCTCTCAACCCAGCTGTCCTGAGAGCCAGGAGCTGGCCCTGTGCGCTCCGCAGGCAGCCCTGAAAGAAGACCTGGGGACCTTGGGGAGGCTGAGGCTGCAGGAGGGGCCCAGAGTCCCCAGTGGTCAGAGCCAGAGGCTCACAGAAACTTGGAAGGGAAAGTACACCACTTGGAAGGGAAAGTCCACTGTTTGCGGAAATTGATTTTCAAGTAAAAAGCACTAACGATAACAGATTTGGGTTGTGGGCTCCTCACATTTACGTGGCACGAGTATATTTAAGGTGCCGGCAGTAAACTGTGTTTGGTGTGTGCATTTGTTCTGTTCGGTTTTGTTGGGGGAGGGCTGGCTCCTTGGGGCAGGGTGAAAGGCAGAACGGTTGATAAAGCAGATCCTCTTCTCTGATTGTGGGAAGTGTGTAGGGCACACGGGACAGAGCCTCTGTGGCATTTCTGGTGTTTACCAGGGAGCATTCAGAGATCATAGGCATCTCTTAATATCCTGAGTCTGCATTTCTGCATCCAAATCCCTAAGTAGAATGTGTGCACATGAGTGTGTATGTGTAGATATATGTGTATATGTAGGTATGTGTACAACACTGATTCAGACTCCTTTTAATACCCGTAGTATTTTTCTCTCTGTTCCTAAATGGTACTCCTGGAAGTCCCTTCTGTTTCACCCTACTTAGAAACCAAGTTGCATTTCCTGGGAGTTGAGGTCACGGACACGTGTGCAGTCACAGCCCACACTGAGCACAGTGTCTCGACTGGAAGTTGGGCCCCAGGTTCCGATGACCACCTTAGGGAGATGGTTGGGGTCAGGCCTGGTGTGTCCCAGTCATGCCCACGCAGCTTGAGGAGAACAGAGGCCTCCAGGCTCCTGGCACGTGCACCTGCAAACACAGGCCGTGTCCCTCAGTGAGTGAAGCCCGTGACTCAGGGCTCTCCTACAGCCAGTGTCTCTCGCTGGGGTGTTTGGATAGCTAGCTCTGGAACTGCACTCGGTCGCCGCGTCTCATGCATCTTCCCGCCTCTCCACCCTGCCTTCAGGACAACCACGAACGCCAGGTGCAGGAGCTGAGGCAGCGGCAGCGGCTCAAGGAGCTGGAGCAGAAGCGGCGATCCTGGACGGCGGGGGAGTTTGGATTCGGCCGGAGCAGCAGTGAGAACGATGTGGAGCTGTTGACCAAGCGGGGCGCGGAGGATCTGCCCCCGTTTCTCTGCTGCAGGCCCCCCACCACCCGCCGCTCCCGCCTCTCCCTGGACACCATGGCTGACCGGGAGCTGCTGAACTTCCTGGAGAGCTCCATGGGCAGTCCCGAGAAACTCAAGCCCAGCAACTCATCCCAGGGCTGCCTCTGGCAGGTCCCGCCCGACGGAGCCTGCAGGGAACCTGGAGAACCGAGGGGCCAGGACTCCAGCCTAGCGCACAGACCTCGGGTCTTGGAGGGCCAGGAGGAAGCCCCCCACCCCACCACGGCTTGGCCGAGCTGGCTCCCTGCAGCCCACCCTGAGGATCCCACCTGCGCTCTGCGCCGCCCTCGGCGCAGTGGGGTCAACACCCTCCGAAAGAGGAGCAGTGCGCCGGTGGGCATGGATCCTGTGAGGTCCTCACCCCCACTCTCACCGTTGGCTCTAGGGATTAGGGAGCATGAGCTGGTGACCGGGCTGGCCCAGTTCGACCTCCAGGCTCCCAAGGGCCCGGAGGAGCTGGCCGGGCTGACTGGGAATGACTGCAGCCCAATGGAGCTGGTATCCGTGAGGGGTGAGAGCCCACAGTCCCTGGGCGCCCCCAATAGCAGCCCGACGCCTGTGGGCAGAGGTGCCCAAGTGGGTCCCGGCCAGGAACCTGTCCCCCAGGATGGCGGTGCTGCCCCTTATGAGCCCAGAGGCACAGCTGCACTCTCTGAGGGGAGCAGCGACCCTGAGCGCCAAGATCCTGGGCCTCTGTTCTGCATCTCCGACACCAACGACTGCTCGCTGACCCTGGACTGCTCTGAGGGAGCCAACTCCAGACCCTTAGAGGGGGACCCGGGTGAGGCAGGCGATGGGGAGGGCTCCGTGTCCCCCGGGGCCTGGGAGATGGGCGGCAGTCAGGCCTCCTCCAACCCCATCTGCAGCCCGACTGCGGAGGCTCCTGCTGCTGCCTCCACCCCCGGCTCGGGCTCCGTCACAGAGAGGAGCGAGCTGGAGAGCTGCAAGGGCGGCCCGCCCAGGGACAGGCCGGCCAGAGGGAGGGAGGCGCCACCGCAGCTCCATGCGGGGGACCTCGGACGCGTCGCCAGCGAGGCCCGCGACGGCGGCGGCCCGGCCCGGGAGGGAGCCCCCCTCTCTGCTTCGGAGCTCCTTCAGGAAGCCCAGCGCCAAGCCTCTGCGCAACGTGCCGCGGCCGAAGCCCGAGGAGGACAAGGCGTGCCGCTCCAGCGCCCAGGGCCCCGACGGCCCCGGAGATCCGCCCTGCGCCCCGCCGGCCGCCAGCGTGCCCCGGGGCCCGGCCGCGGTCCCCAGCTTCGCTCGCAACACGGTCGCCTCCTCGTCTCGAAGCCAGAGGCTCGACTCTCCCGCTCTGGCCAGAGCCCCCGGCCTTACGCGGACCATGTCTCAGCGGCAGCTGAGAGTGAAGGGCGGCCCCGAGGACAGCGCCCCCAAGGACAGCGGCGCCCTCCGGCGGGCCGGCAGCGCCCGTACCCTGCGGAAGGGGTCCGAGTGCGCCGAGGGCCCCAGGGCCGGCGCGGAGACCCCGCCGAAGGGCCGCGGGGCAGGCGAAAGGGCCTCCCTCCGGCTGAAGGAGGCCAATCGCGCGGCGCTGGGGAAGGGGCTTCATCCCTTACGTAAGTGAGGGGCATCCGCCCTCCCAGCTTGCCTTTTGGGGCTCGGATGGTGAGGACTGACTTGTGCGAAAGGCGACCCTAAATGTCTGTTCCACATAGAGCCCCCCGCTGGGGCTCCCTGCCAGTGCCCCCGAAGGTGTAGCCTGCTGGACCCACATCCCCGCTGGACCATCGGCTCCGCATCGGCCCGGGAGGTGGACCTGCTGAGCCCCGTCCTCCAAACACAGAGACCGGTGGACGACTCAGACAAGGTCGTTGTCTGACTCAACATCATCTGATGTTCTTAGGTGACGAGTAACAAGATTTCGGGGCCAGTTTTTATATAGCGGTGACATTTTTTACTATTATAAAAATTAAACGTTGTTTTGGTTGGTTCCTTTCACAGAGTGAAATGCCTCCCAGGGGAAAAATGATGAAGGTATTTTTTATCTTCCTAGTTCCCTGGCCTCAGGGTTCCACCTGCCCATGCTGTGCATTGCTGGCAACTGGACTTCCGCCACAAAGCCTTTGGGTGTCCTGTGGTTGGCACCATCTTCCTGAAGACTGTTCCTTGCTCATCTCCACCTGCTACCTTTGGTGAGGTGAACAGGAGGGAAAGTGAAACTGGTGGACAGAAATCTGGTGCTCCCCGTGTGTTGGGACTGTGGGGCAAGCCATCCCTGTAGATGGGTGGCCACCCCTGGGAGAATGCTGGAGCTTCCAGAATTTAAAGGTGCCATATTTTGATGGAAGGTAGTCAGGACTGTTCAGCTGAGCACATCTTTCCCGTTCTGTTTTCTCATTTGAGTATTTGTTGTAAAACTGAGTGAAGGCTGCTATGACTTGTGTTCACTCTAGTTCCTCTAGGGAGGAATAAACCCAGACTTTCTCCTTTGCTAATGTGACCTGGAGCCTGGAGAGAAAGATTCACTTTCTCTCTCCATGATATTTTTAAATGTTGATGTCTGTTCTTTGGTACAGTGGTTTTAAATCCTGAGAAAAACCAGGTCAAGTTTTAAAAACCAGACCAAAATTGAAATTGCTTTAAGAAGACTTTATACTATCAGGAAAATTTTGAAGAAAAAAAAAGTAAGGCTTCATTCAAAAGAGAAAAACATACTACTCGGTTCCAATTTCACTGTTTCCGTCCCAACTAGCTAATTGGGAAGTGGGGGAATTCTTGAAACATTTTTGTTATTTAAAAACTGCCCTTTCTCCCATTTTTTCACTTTTGATCACTAATTAGTGAAACTTTGTTTTAGATCTGACAGCGGGAGGTGGGTTTTGGCAAATATAGTAATGTATTCCTGGTGAATCCATACGGTTGATGTTACAGTCTCCCTGCTGTAGAATGTTGCCTTCCGTCCAAATCGATTAGAAACTCTGAGCTTCCATGAGTCAGCTAAACTGAAAAGGAAAACAAGGCACCTGACCACAAAACCTTTTGTAAAAATAGCCCAGAGTAGTATTTCCAGGGCTCCACAAAGATGGTTGTGAGAATCCTGAGCCATTTTTCGTCATCTCAAAAGCCTTTAAAAAAAATCATGTATTTAACCATGCAGACAAACCTGTGTGAAACCTAGGGCCTGTGAAAGAGGTCAAAATTTGTGCGTTTGTGGGTAGTGTCAGGGTTGTGGCCCCTTGGGGAACCCTGGAAAGCAGGGTCCAAATCCCTGTTCCCTCACTGATGCAGTGAGGCTTTGGCAAGTCACTCCCTCTCCTTAAGCCTCTGTTTCCCAGCCTGCATAAGTGGGGGTATGGCCTCTGCTGTGGTCTTCAAGGGTTCTGCCAACTCCCAGAGTTCAAGTCATCGTGAACAGCCAAGAACCCATCTCTGCCCTGGGATCAGCTTCTAGAACTAAACTCCGGCATTTCCACAGTGGAGGTCTCACATAAAGCCTCGCTCAGAAGAAAGCACCTTCAGAATGAGTTGTTGCTTTGAAATCTATTAAGCTGAGTTTCCTGAGAAGTGGTGTTTTGCTTAGCCCTGTGGACCACTTGTATGCATCTGTGTGAGCAGGTGATCATTCTATTACCTTTTATTGGTAGTAAGCTTGGAAAAATAATTTAAATATATAATGCAGAAATGTAAATAGTTTTATATATAAATTTTAAGATGAACTGAATGTATTTAAAGGTCCATTTATATGTTTGTTCTTTTATGTAATGTGTAGTTTAATAAAGTTCATGTTTATGAGATTTGTGTTTTCTCCTCAATTGCTTCTGTGGATGTGGGCATGTGACCCTGGTAAGAGAGTGCATCATATCCTGTACAGAGAGAAGGGTGGAGATGGGGTGGACAGGAGGTGCCAGAAGGTTGGGATAGAGCAGCCAAAAGTCTCCAGAGCCAAAATCAGCTGTTGATGTGTGTCTTCTTAATAGCATAGAACCTGCATTTAACTGCGCGGGCCCCGGGAGGGGGCCTTGCGCCACACCTGGGATGCAGGCATCCATCTGATATGCAGGCCACGCATGGAATGTTCAGCACCTCATGCACACTTGCGTTATTCCATGTTGTGGGCTAACCTTTGCGCAATCTCCACGGGGCGGGCAAGTCTGGATCTGCTCCTGTGCGCTCGCGTGTGTTCTGGCTCAGGACGGAAATCGCAGCTCACCTCTGTGGCTGCCTCAGGAATGAGTAGAGAGGGAGGGAGGCGTGCTTTTATTTGAAATGCAGGATTGGTTTGAAAAGAAAGGGGGATTGTGTGTAAGATGAGACTCATACCTTGGGATTTCCTATCAAGTTTTAGTCCTAGCTGCTCTCCCAATTTAGCTGACGGGTTAGAGGAAGATCCTGGGGTCAGACAGCAATGGATGAGAGAGCAGATTACATCCTTGTCCTGCTTGTGAGGTGCTGCCCCGTAGACTTTTAGAGCCTGGTTTTGCCTGTTGTAAGTGGTTTGGAACATTGGACCCCTCCTCAATCATCATCCCTGTGGTAACCGGGCTGACTGACACAAACCAGAGCGAGGCCTTTTATTTCCATAGTGGGTCTCAAGTAGTTCTCTTAGTCCTTTCATTTTCTCAAGGAACCTGTATTCTAGTCTTCCTTCTAAAGATTCTCGTTGAAACCCAGGGACCACAGTTTCCTAATTGTTCAGTCTGCATATTTATATATTATGGTGACAGGCTCTGGAATGTTTTGATAGAACTACTAATTCAGGTTTCTGAGATGAACAAATTCACCAACTCCTGCCTCTAAGGGCATAGTCTTTCCCTCCTCTATCTCCTCCCATCTAGCAATGATGACGTTTTGCAGTTTCACAGAATTTTCTGTTGAAACTTAAACTTTGTTCTTAATTCTTCATTATACTTTTGCTTCATGCTTCAGTCCTGCCATAAAAATAGAAGAGGGTTTTTTTTATCTGGTATGTATTCCTGAGCACATATAAGCACACACATTTAAGCCAACTGTGACTAAGAGACGTTGCAGTTGACCCACTAAGTACTTCTTAAAATTATTTGGGTTGTGAGCACAAACAAAATGGGTGACAGTGGGTTGGTAGAGTCACCCTACTCAGCTTCTGTGGAGCTACAGTACACAGCTGGGAATGAATCCGGGACAGGCTTGAAAACATAACCCAGAGCAACCTCTCCAGGGGTATTTTCATCCGCAAATATCTTCCAGTGAAACGCCCTGTGGCTCACTGGGATTTGTCAGTGAAGACAAAGGTAATGTCCTTGTGGTTGAAGAAAGTGGCTTTTCTGTCTTCTGGACCAGAGCCTGGCAGCTCACTGCCTCCGCTTTCCTTCCTAGTTGGCAGGTGGGACAACTGGCCCCACTGCAAGGGGGGTCACGGCCCGAGCAGCACCCACGGTCTCCTTCCTGGGCCTTGACCAAAGGCCACCTGGAGCCTGGCGCGACCTGACCGCCCCCTGTCAATGCTCGAGGTCCTCTTAGGCACTTTAATACCAGACCTCTGGAGTCAGGCTTTGTCCTTAGCCTCCTCAGAAACATTCAAATGCTGAGTCATAGAGGCAGTCCCTAACTTGCTAGCAGATGACGTTCCCCAAGTTTGCTCAAAATTAGACTTGAGAAATTCAGAATGCACATTCCCCAAGCAATCAGGTCATGGTTATAGGTAGGTTTCCAAGGCAGCCCGTCAGAAACTTCCTTAACCCCTCCTTGGGTGGACGGCGGCAGTGGTTTTGTAGGTGAGAACCTCACNTCCTTTAGGCTGGACTGGTTGGATCTCCTTGCAGTCCAAGGGACTTTCAAGAGTCTTCTCCAACACCACAGTTCAAAAGCATCAATTCTTTGGTGCTCAGCTTTCTTTATAGTCCAACTCTCACATCCATACGTGACTACTGGAAGAACCATAGGCTTGACTAGATGGATCTGTGTTGACAAAGTAATGTCTCTGCTTTTTAATATGCTGTCTAGGTTGGACCACTTCAATGAGAGCTGGGTATTTGATGAGGGCGGTAAGCTCTCCATGGTGACCCCTGACAGTGTCAGAGCCCCAAATGGTGTGCACTTTCCTCTGGGGGAGGGCTCTAGTGTGGGACAGGACACCTGGGGATGATGGGGGGGTCCTGGTCCCACCCCGGACCTGCACCAACTCAGCATCCTTTGGTGGGTCCCCTGATTTGCACTGAACAACTCCCCAGCGACTTGAGAACCAGTGGACCAGAGAGAGAGGCCACAGCCTGGCTTCTCTGGCCTGGCCCTCTCCTTGGGCCTCTGCCGGGCAAAGCAGGTGCTTTTCCCCTGGGCAGGGGACACAGCGCCCTGCGGACTCGGCGCCCGGATGGGAGGAGAGCTGCCCCCAGGAGCCTGCGGAGGTGGTCTAGTTCGGATCTTGCAGCAGAAGCACCTCCACTGCGAGGCTCGGCCACTGCTTTGAGTCAGGAGCTCTCAGGAGCCCGGCACCAGAGAGCCCAGGACGGTGGCTCCAGGGGAACACAGGAAGTGACTCAACGATTGCCTTTTCGGAAGCTCATCATTGGGCAGTGAAGCAATTTGGCAGGAGCGCTGAGCAATGCCACACCCACCTGTCTGCCCACGCTGAGGTTCTGTCAGCAGAGTTGCTCTTTGGAACCCTGCTCCCTAGGCCTCTTGGATTCTGGAGTTTTCACAGCCGTCATGAGAGTCGCTGCAACTCTGTTCTTGGGAGCTTTTCCGGGTGGCCGCGGCTCCTGCGGCCGCCGCGCGGGCGCGTCTGCGCTGACCTCACCGCTTAGGAAGGGGGTGGGGCAGCTCTCCAGGGTGCTGACTCAGGGCGGCAGCGCGGCGCCCTCCCGCCAGGCCGCAGCGGCCGGACCTCAGCCCCTTCTGTCCTGCTTTAGCGGACAGAAGCCCTCCCTGGAAGGAGGACCAGTCCCCGGTTCTTTCCAAAGCTGTCAGCACAGAATAATGCACCCTCCACCGCTTCGTGCTGTGAACAGCTCCCCCTCAGACCGGGAAAGTTGCTGAGGTCTGGACAGTCTGGCTACTTCCGCGGACAACTGTTTCGCCAGTTCCCAGACGGCAGCGGAGGCGATTTAGCTACATTTGGATTAAAACGATGGTTCAGCCTTGGAAGATGCCCCAGCAGGAAGAACAGTGCCTCCATTCAGCTGTGGAGACGGCAGCCTGGCTGGTCAGCTGTATTTCTCTTTCCCAAGCCCCAGCAGTTCCCACAAGCTGATTCATCTCCAGGGAGGAGAGGGAAGAGGTGGGCTGCCTGCAGGGCAGGCTTCTTGCCCCAGCTGAGACGGCGGAACTGCCTCCCCGCCCCCACAGGGCCTCCTACTCCCGAATCCAGGTTTGCCTTTTATACAGTGGAAACGGGTCATCAGAGCAGCGCCTGGATAAGGTACCCACTGCTTCCAGCCCCGCCCCGGCCCCTGCGGTTCTCAGCCAGCTCATAATGGGTTGGACTCCGGCCAGAGCTTTCCTCCCAAGAAGCTTACGGCTTTGCACACAGGTACTCATCACACCCACCATTCTAGTCACCTAGTGGGAGGTGATATTTGCTGTCCCACTTTTCAGCAGAGGAGTTCCTTCTGGGAGAGGTGGAAGCGGAGCAGGTGGACCCCTGATGCTGCCTGACTACCCAAGGCACCTCCTGTGGCCACATCTGTGGGGTGATAATGCCCAGCATGAGGTCCTCAGCCTTGCGCCACCTTTCAGGGGGAAGTGTGGGGAGCTGGATCATGGTGGAAGGAATGAAGGGACCCCCAAGGGTCTGGTCATCGTGTCTGAGGATGAGCCCGCTAAGAGTGTTCAAACTGAAAAAAGGCGATAAGAACATGGCGGTGAGATTAATCATAGTCTGTGTTGTTCCAAAGCAAAACAGAGCTAAATCTTCAGGTACAAGACAGCTCACACCAAAGCTGCCTGTCCACCTCCCTGGACCAGAGGCTCCCAAGGCCCTTCCACTTGGAAGACTCTGAGCCTGTGAGATGGCTGCCTCAGACTTAGTGGCTGAGTTGACCCAGTAGCCCCCGAAGGCCACTTTTTCGTCGAAGGGGTCACCTCCTGGGAGGCCCAGCTGTACCTTAATATGTCACAAGAAGCAGCTTCGTGACAGCCACCCTTGTCACTATGCCAAGAAGCCCTCTGTGGGGTCTCCTGGGCATAGGGCTTCCTGTTGTCACGGCAGCACCTGCTCATTCCTCTGGATCTGACCGTACGGCAGGAATGCAAGGACAGTCACCTTGTGAAGATTCTCAGTGGGAGTTCAAGGCAAGCTTGTGATCCTGAAAAGCTCTGGGTCTTGCAGGGATTCTAAAACGTGGTGCCCAGGCCTGTGCCATCTGGTGGCTCCTCAGAAGCGCAGCCATCTCCAAGTCCAGATGAAACAGTTCTTCCCTCCTCTGTCCTTTTGCTCTGGAAATCGATCTTTCCCTCCCCTGAACTCACAGAGTGCTTGGGATTAAAGCCCTGATCCCCACCCACCTTGTAAGGATGGTTGGTTGTATCTGACTCCTGGACTAGGGTATGTGTGTGTTGGGTGGGGATGGGGGTGATTCTCCATCTGTGATCCTCTAAGTCCCAGCAAGGGCTGCCGCTAAGTGAGTGCTCCACACACACGTGTGGGCAGATGGAGTCCAGTGAGTGAGGGCAAGGTTCAGGGACCTGTGTGCTAGCGGAATACGTGGTCGAAGACCACTGCCTGTGTCTGGACCGGGCCTAGGTAGATAAAGGTGGGGCACGCATGAGTCCCAGCAGAAGGCCCCAAGGAGGGGGCAAAGGGCTTCTGGGACAGGAGGAC